CAGCAGGCTGCAATGGAAATGCCTCTGTCTTGGTGGCCCTCCTTAGTGAAGTCATCCCATGACATGGCAACCATAGATGGATTTAGGCCAAAAGAAACCTCTGGAGGTCATTTAGTTTGACCTCCTGCTCCAAGTTGAACTTTGATTAATAGCAAGTCCTGTCATCCATGGATGTGGAAGCAACAGTAACTATGGCCATATGATGTGTATGCATGACACATGCATCTCTCTGGTGTGAATCTGCAAAGCTCTAAGAAACCTTTACTCCTCTCTCCTCTTGTTCCCATTATTCTAATTCAATGTGGTCCCTCCCTTTCACCCCAGCACAGGCGTAACCTTTTAAAGTTATATCTTCCACTCCCCCCCATTTCTGTATGTTCCCTAGTGCTATCCACACTCAATAAACAATTCCCTGGACTCTGGTGATCCTTCAGTAACCGTGCTGGAGACTCAGATGAACTCTCTAATTTGGGAGTGAAGGACTAAGAGTTTGAAAGGAGGCACAAGGTGAGCACACCAGTGTCTGGAGAAATGACACATTGCCCTGGGGAAAGCAGCCCAGAGACTATTGCCAAACTGCACATGGACTCTCATACACTGAGGACAATCTGGCTTCTAGTTTGTGGGGATAGAAATAATCTGTCCAGGATATAGCTCAGACATGAGTAGAAATCAAGCAGTCTCCTTTTTTGAGTGATACCAGAACCTCACACAGAACCAGATTCGTCTCAGTTCTTATCTCCAAACCCTACACCCTCAGCATGCCTCTGTGAATAGTATGTTGTTTTTAAAGGGCACTTTCTAACTCAAATCTGTTTGTTTAGCACTCTCTCCAGAACACTGTTACAGTTTAGATATGCATTTATAACTGCCCAGTGTTTCTGCATGGGGTAAATGAAAACCAATGTTTTGGGACACAACAGTCAAGATCAAGCCCATTTGCCTACCAGACCAAGAGAGTCTGTAGTCCAAGAGAGAAGTGCTACGTTGCTCTTCTTTCTCATAGTCACTAGACTGGTCTAGGCATCTCTAAAGCCATTAATAAGATCAGAAAATTTACTCAGTTTGCTTCTTGCTGCTTCAGGACATTCCCAACAAGCACTAATTTGTAACAAGAAAATGGTTTGCTCATACTCTGCAGACTACCCACAAAACTTATTTCCTTGCTTCAATGAAATATAAAGTGATTTGAAACGCAAGGGGAAACCTTGAACCTGCTGTCTGCCTTGGCACAGGGAGCAGTGGCATCTCTGATCTGAAAGAGGGCATCCATGTGGAGAGAGGGACAACCAGAGAACACATCTCTAGTGAAGAATAAGTCGGTCAACTCTGTAGTTCAAACAGCCAATGCAGCAAGTTCAGAAGATGAATTCTGTGTCCCTCAGCGTTTGGAAAATATGCACTACCAAATGTTCTTGAAACCCGGTCTGTGATGCCTGGCTGTGCGAATCCTCCCTGATGCATTTGCAAGTCTTCTGCAAACTGGTACCCGTGGAACTATCCCTGTTGTGTTTTATAGCAATGAAGAGTTGCCGGTAGAGCGCTACACTGTCCCTCCTGCACTACTTGCTTGGGTTGGCTGCCTTCTCTGCGATCCAAGCCTCAGCGTTTGATCAGGATGTCACTACAACCATGTCACTCGTGTGTAGGTGTTGTTTCTATGTGGCATTTCATTTGAATTTCTGCATGAATAACATAAATTATACTTTGCGTTTGATAAGAGACACTTGTAATGCAATATGTGAATAATAAATGGTGTTGATTATTTTTTTTTCCTACTGTTTCACAGTTGGCCTTTGTAACTGCTCTTGGCTCTGAGATGTTTTCTACATGGAAATTGCAAGCCTGTAATTTAACAAGAAGATGGAAATGGGTTAGGTTTCTATATGCAAAGGCACAGGGCCTTATTCCCATGTCTGGTGAGGAAGGGCCTGATGAAGGCTTGGGCATTAATCAGAGTGCTTCCACAAGCCATCCTCCCATTGCACTCCTAGCATTTGCTCACCACTACTACCCTCAACACTCTCTCACATTTGGCTCTGCCTTGACGCTTTGATAAGCAGTCTTGCATCTGCTCTTCAGGCTAATACTTGCTAACTCCATTTGATCCTCACTATCCATTTAGCCTTGTTGATACCAGCCTCTTTCCTTGGCTATGTGGGCGTCTTCTTTCCCATTCTTACATCATTAAGCCACCTGGGGCACTTTCTCCACTTTCCCCATACCCTTGTCTCGGTGAGATCCTCTAACATCCTGTTACACCTGCACACGTGGATTTGCACTCACACCTGCTGTGATAAGCAGTCTTGCATCTGCTCTTCAGGCTAATCCTTGCTAACTCCATTTGATCCTCACTATCCATTTAGCCTTGTTGATACCAGCCTCTTTCCTTGGCTATGTGGGCATCTTCTTTCTCATACTTACATCATTAAGCCACCTGGGGCACTTTCTCCACTCTCCCCATACCCTTGTCTCGATGAGATCCCCTAACATCCTGTTACACCTGCACACATGGATTTGCACTCACACCCGCTATTCCACCACATCCAGCTCAGCTCTTTACTGTGAGGTTTGTTTATGAAAGTGCAAGACCGTGTGTAGACCAGACAGTATTAAAGTCCTCCCTGTGATGAATTTCTTATGCACAGCAATACAATTGTACATCTTCACATTCTTACTGGGCTGGGAAAAATACGAGACACAGTGTCTAGGTGCTCTTCAGCCAAAAATGCACCACTC